ATCTGACGCAGCTTTGGGGTTTCGTCAACGCTTCCAAGTATGAAGAGATGCTCACGATCTGCCGCACCGAAAAGCAAGGAATTTGGAATCTGTGACCGTTTTGGAGTTACACTAAGCTGTTGATTGTTGGTGTCAACCGATCCTGGTGTGGCTTGTACAGTTTTGTAGTAAACGTTTGTATAACATGTAGAGGAGAGTTTCCATATGGAATGAGAAGTTGAAACATGAAGAGTTTTGCTTTATAAATACTAAATGCCATTTATAGAAAATACTGTGTAGTACTAGTACACTAATAGTTAACTGTATATATTTCCTAGAAACTAAGAATAAGAATGTCCTGCCTATATTGCAGATGGAGCTTTCAAAACTGGAAATTGCTACTCCCTCTATTCCAAAGACGCTTTGGTTTTTCTAGATATATAATTTTTATTATGCACTTAAACATATACCTTGTCTAGGTATATAACAAAATCAATATATCTAGAAAAGTCAAAACATCGTATAATTTGGAATGGATGGAGTATTTGTCAGATGCCTGTATTTTTTTTTCTTTTTTCTTTTTTGTGGTAGATCTTCCTCCGCAGCCATCCTCGTTTGCCCCCACCTCCCTCCTTCCCTTCACAGCCTCAGGCTGCGTTTTGGACTGCCCTGCCACCGTCTCCGCTCAACTGGTCTGTTTCGAGAGTGAAGGGTAGCCATTCATTCCATTAAGCGCAGTTGAGGTGGTAGCTCAACTGGCCTGTTAACGAGTTAGGTTGAAATGGAATGTATTTTGGATGGTTGGAAGACTCAAGGAAATATTTTTGGTGCCACAAATAAATTCTGAAAAACAAAAGAACGAAAGAAAAGAAGGAAATGAATATGATGAATTTTAATACGAAGCTTTTAAAAATTATTTTTGAACATGGTTTTGCAGGAAAAAAAAGCAAACAAATTTTAATTTATCATAGAATTTTAAAGAATTCCAAATATTAGTGAATTTTAGTATAAGAAAAAAAAATACAGGGTGTTACACCCTTCCCATTCAAGTAAAAGTCTCTAGAGCCGACTCTCTAAAGATGGACCTCGAGGGTCCCATGATCCAACAAAGGCAATTGACCTATGGGGCTATGCCAATCATCCCAAGCCCATTTAGGTATTTTTGGGCTTCATCTGTCACGTGTGTACAACCTTATATCCAGCACATTGTATCAAATCTGTCCACTTTCGACCAAAGTCCTATGAATATTCAATGTAGATCAAAAGACAAAACGAAGTGAAGAATGCAAGATTATCAAGCTTAACAAGTGTAAGTGATATGAAATGTTGCAATTATTGAGTGAAATAGGAGCATAAACGTGTGCACAAGCAGAGCCAATGGTAGTGTTTGTGTTTTCCTCGTTCCAAATTACATCATCTTCCATTCGCTTTGATGCTCACTGTCCCATTTGTTCCCTCGCCTCTTGCCTACTCCTTCCCAAGCGACATCATCCCTACCACCAAGTCTGCCGCCCGCTCCATGCTAAGGTGGCCAAATAGCCACCACCCTATTCCTTTTTTCATTAGTACTCTCGTCATTGTTTTCCTGGCATGTTTTTTTTAAATAATGGAATACAAGTATCCTAGCCTCCACATCAGTGTGATGATGCTTAGCTGTTCCAAATTACAATAGTTGTCCTCGCAGCAAAGGAAGCTTCATTGTTCAACGAACAAAAGAGCAAAATGAGACCCAACACCTTTTAATATAACCAATGTGGAAACCTCCACTCTTGTCTAGCAAATATCTCCACTGTGGTGATCTCCAAAGTGCGGCAAGCATTTCGCACAATTTTGTTTTATTCTTCTTGGCATGTTGTTGAACCACACTATCGGAAACTGGGTGTTTGTCGAGTGCTAAATTGTTTGCCGAGTGTATTCTTTCGGGTACTCGACAAAGAAGCTATTTGCCGAGTGCTGTCACAAAAACACTCGGCAAAATAAATTGCACTCGGCAAAAGAGGCAAAAAAAACACTCGGCAAAGTTCGGCACTCGGCAAACGAGAAAAAAAAAACACTCGGCAAAAGCTAGGCACTCGGCAAAGTTCACATCCGTTAGTACGTGTGCCCTCTGTTAGTACATTTGCCTAGTGTCCGTCAGTGGAAACACTCGGCAAACAAATACACTCGGCAAAAGAGACAAAAAAAAACACTCGGCAAAGACAGACACTTGGCAAAGAAATATATTTGCCGAGTGCTAAACTTGTGGCACTCGGCAAAGAAGTAAGTTTGCCGAGTGTAAACATGTGGCACTCGGCAAATAATTTTATTTTTTTCTCTTGACCTTGAAACATGTGTCATGATGTGATGATATCATACATGGAGGCTGTGGTAAAAAAATTAAGAAGGTTTCGCACAATTTGTCACGTACAATGTTTACAAACCGAAGCATCGGAAAAAAAGAAAAACACGTTATGAAAAAAAAGGAAAAGAAAGAAAATAAAAAAGCAGGGTTTGCCGAGTGCCCTATCTGACACTCGGCAAAGCACTCGACAAACCCTGCTTTTGCCGAGTGTCAGATCTTGACACTCGGCAAAGGTTCTTTGTATCCAGCGCGGCACAGGCAAGGCGGTAAGTACCAGAAGAGCACAGAGCTGCTCATCCGCAAGCTCCCGTTCCAGTGCCTGGTCCGTGAGATCGCGCAGGACTTCAAGACCGACCTCCGCTTCCTGTCCTCCGCCGTCGCCGCTCTGCAGGAGGCCGCGGAGGCCTACCTCGTCGTCGAGGACACCAACCTCTGCCTAGGTGTTTTCGCTCGCCACGCTTCATTGTATCTGCTACATAGTTGTTTAGGCCCTGTTCTCGTCATGTTCTAGGTCTGGGTTTAGGATCTGTTCTCGTCATGTTCTAGATCTGCGTTGTTCAAAAGTTTGTAGTTTCGTCCTGTGTGTTAATGCTATCAATGAACTATGCCTACCTGTTTCAGAGAAATGCACTGATGTATGTCTCTTCACGATGTGGTTACTGATGATGGTGCCTGCTTTCTGAATGCATGCTTGGAATCGGCCTTGTTAAATCGTGACAGGTGGATACTTTTTGCTTGCAATGGTTTTGTATTTTTTGTAAGATTCAATTCCTAGGAAACTGTTGATTAACAAGGTGGACACTCGGCGAACCAAGCCATGTTTGCCGAGTGTCAGGGCTGGGACACTCGACGAACCAGGCCATGTTTGCCGAGTGTTTTTTTTTCATGGACACTCGGCAAATATGACATCTTTGCCGAGTGCCCGTGCCGAGCGTCGGTTTTAGCACTCGGCAAAGTCTTTGCCGAGTGTCTGATAAAAAAACACTCGGCAAAGAGACGTTTGCCGACACTGTAGATGCCGTATGCTGTTTGCCGAGTGTTACACTCGGCAGAGTCTTTGCCGAGTGTTTTTTGGGCTTTGCCGTGTGCTCGGGGCACACGGCAAAGCCACTGTTTCCGGTAGTGGCAACACCACCTTTAGAGTCTTTTTTGATCCTTACAACTAATAGTTTGCTGCTAAAAATTATGTAGGAACCCAATAGTGACTATGACTAATTTTCACCATATTCATACTCTCAGAATAAAAATCTACGCACCCAAAAGGCAAGCGCACCCCCTCAAATTAGAAATATCTCTGCCCGTGCTAACCAAGGATGCTAACACATCAATTCTCATCATCAACATATAAAAAATGCATGCCTCATATATTTACTCAACCATACATCATGAATTTGAACAAATTGAATGAATAGTAAGCACGATAGTTAGAAACCAACACTTGTGGCATGGGAAATACCGAATCAAGTGGTGACACGAAGATTTACGTGGAAAACGATTGCAGATAAAAACCACGAGTGGTGTTGAGCAAGCAATCCACTATGAAGATGAAGGTTATAAGAGCCAATAAGATTTGGGAGGCTCCAAATCTCCGCAATTTCACTCGTATATTGGCGGATTTGGCAGATCAAAGCATCATCTATTTTTTCTCAAAACCTAGCTCTCTTCCAACTTCAAGAACAAGAACAAGCCATACCAGAGAAGAGAACAGGAGTTTGGGCTCCTTTAAGTTGCCACCTTCATATTAGCCTCAAGCTGTATAACATTGCAAATAACTTCCATTTCAGCCTGTACATGTATAAGCACTATTGTTTTGCACTATGTATTAGCCACAATGGCACACAAATGATTAAATTAGGTGCTGCTACATCACAATCTAATTGCAGTATAGGCGTATAGCCAAGCATCATACGTGGTTTTTTAGCATGTTTTTAGGACAGGGAGTAGGTTTTAAGGTGAAAATCGAAGAGGCTTATATCCAAATCATTTGAAGTCCAGTGCCGTAGTCGCATCATTTTAAGCACATACAGTGGCGGAACCCCTGATTTTGTTTAACACATATATAAATATTTGAATTTACAGTAAAAAAATATCAATTTTCATCCATTTTTTATTAAAATATTATGATTTTGATTATAAATAGTGTATTTTTTTAAAAGTTGTTGAAACGCATAATTATATATATTTTACCACACTAAAAATACGATCATATTTGTCTGATCTCCCTTAATCAAAATCACTGGTTCCGCCACTGATCACATGCTACAATATGTCACAATAAAAATCAAAGGTTAGGTTTTTTAAAAGAGAGTAAGCTTTCACCAAAAGATACTATTTCAAACTAGTGGCCTCATCATCCGTGTGTTCATGGTTCACAATAGCTCACAAACCTCAAAACAACAGTAGTGCTCCTCCTATAGGTCGATCAAGGTTGCTCTTGATCTTATATTCACACACATGTGTGTGTGCACACACAGAGGAAAATAGAAAAATAAACTTATAGGAAAATATACACATAAAAGCACGGATCATCGACTAAGCTACCACTAGATATAAAACATAAAAACAAATAGACCAGCCTTCCCCAAATCAAATAAAGCAAGCTAAGCTTAGATGCACCAGTTTAGCACAAAATAAGCTAGCCAAAAACAGATGAAGCGAAGGCGCTCGCCGATCGATCCATCTACAAAGCTCGATTACTACAAGCTGATGAACCATAAAAACCCGGACCAGACTCCGGACAATAGCATCCCCTGCGTCTCGTGGACCGCGACGGCGAGGAGGAGGTGTTGTTGCTGCAGGCCGCCATGAACGCCACGGCCTTGGCCCACACCAGGAGCTCCCGCTTCATCCGCTTCTCGTCGCCCCAGATCATCGGGTCCACCGGCCGGTCCTTCTCCGCCGTGGCAAGGAACACCGGGGCCGCCTCCCTGCCCGTCACCTCCCCGTCGCCGCCGCCGTCCGCTGCCAAGAACAGCGGCCGTAGCACCGTCTCCGCTTCCAGAGCCATCGATGATCCGCCCGCCCGCGCACGCACCAGCACCACAACCGGCTCAAGGTCTCGAGAGCTGCCTCCAACTCGATCGCGAGCACCGTGTCCGTGTGCTAAGCTAGCTGTGTGTGCTCTGCTCCCGGATAAGAACGCAGCGACGACGCGATCGTCGTTTATATAGTAGGAGCCTAGGAGGGCTTGTGTGCGAGAGGAAATTGGCACGAGGAAGTCGCTGCGCCGTCGTCGTCGGGCACTCGGGTGTCAATTTTATATACACGGGCCGGGCGCGCACCAGCACCATGCACATGCGCTCCCGGGCGGCTCGCGTAATATCTGGAAGGGCGAGACCTCCGGCCGGGGCAGCGAGTGACGCGGAGCGCGCCGCGTCTGCCCGGGCGCTCTCAGATATGGTTGGGCCATCGCGGTCCCGGGCGGTCTCTGCCGCGCGCGCGGAACGTGACGACGGGCATGGCCGCTTGTGTTCGGACAGCGGCCGCTAGGCCTCCTACTAGTAGCTGGAAAACGAGGCGCAAAAGCGAACGTGCCGCCGTGCCGGTATATCTACGTGCTGCTAAGGCACACGACGCGACAGTTTGTGGCCAAAAGGGTTGAGATCGATTCTGTAGTGGTATGATGATCAACGTTGTGGGTTGCGGGCCAGGATAGGAGTATATCGAGACGTGGTATCCATATCCGGTCGTTCTCCGGATCTCGAATAATGATCACACGGGATAATGTATCCACACAGTACGTTTATGCACTGTATATCCTCCTACCCCCTTATATGAAAAACAGAATTACTCCTCAATCGCCTGATATTTTGCCTTCGCGGCAGTCACCAGTGCCCGTGCGCCCGACCCGCCCATGCCAGTGCACTGTTCATCTTCCCCACCGCGACGCCCCCATCTGCGCCCGCGCCCACCCTACCCCCTTCTTCTCCAACTCGGGCGGGCTTAGAAGAGAAAGGGGTTTGGGGGAACGAAGGCCGGCCAGACGGTGGGGATGACAGCAGTGCGGTTTAGGGGCCCTAGCGGCGGTGGAGGCGGCCGAGCCAAGTCGGGGCGGGGGAGCTTGTCCGGAGCTCGCCACAAAAGAACGAGGCAGGGGAAGAAGGTGGCCGCCGCGGGCACGCTAGGGTTTCGCCGAAGCTCCGTGGCCACCACAGGCCGCGAAGCTCCGGCGAAACCCGAGCGCGCCGTGGCAAGGCGGTGGGCAGCAGCGGGGGTGAGGACGAGGAGGAGGAGGGCGCGGCCACCGGCGAGGCAAGTGGGGGTGGCGAGGAGGAAGGCGCGGCCTCGGAGGAAGAGAGTTGAGGAGGAAGAAGAGGCTGGCAGAGGTGAGGTTGAAGATGACTGCGGAACCATAGGATCAGGATCCAAGGGCTGTCATTGTTGCCTGATGGATAAGCCCACTGGTCAGGCATCTGTTGTGGGGATATACCCTATGAAAAAACATGGATATGAGTGCTTAAGTATCGGATGAGCAAACACTAGGATACACTACACACCAAAACAAAAAAATCTTGAGGATCAAAAACCACCAAGTAAAATATAAAACCCGCCAAGAAAATGTTTATTTCTTGAGGGGCAACCGTCAAGCAAAAGCCACCAAGTATAGTAGAGAAATTTAATTTCCTTGGCGGTTCAACCCAAGGTGAATTTCTTAGCGATTCAACTGACCAAAATTTAAAGCCTCACATGTTATTTGCACTTCAAAGTCACTTGTGACTTAGTGGCTGATAAATGCCTTTTGTATTCACTAGAGTAATTATTGTAATTCATATTCAAAATCCTAAATGAATTTAGATGAAAAAAGTTTAAACTATAATGGTTTAATCTCTTCGAGTACTACAACTTTACTTTAGGTCATTTCTCTATCCGAGATCATCTGAAACATTCATAAAAATATTAATTTTAAAATGGTGATTTCTCTTGACGGTTTAAAATAGCACTCAAGTAAACAACTGTTTTTCTTGTCAGTTAACCAATAACACACAAGGAAAATTACATATTTCTAGTAGTACAAAATTGATTTTTGCTGACGTTTGTGATTTTTTCACTGACGCTTGAGATATACCGGTTGTTTTCTTAGCCTAGTGCCACTACAAATAATTTAAATTTATTTCTTTTTTTTTCAAATGAACTCAGATGGAGAAATAGTCTGAACGAAAGTAGTATTAAAAAAACTACAACTTTGTAGCTGACTACTTTTTCATTTGAAATCATTTAGAGCTCAGAAATTATGTTTTTAAGATTAATAATTTTAAAATTCATATTTTTTGAATTCCTCAAATGATCTCGGATGGAAAAACGATCAAAAGCAAAATTGTAGATCTCTACGAGATCTAAAACTTTTTGTAGTTAAACTTTTTTATTTAAACCAGTTTAGGGCTTCAAATTTCCATTTCAAAATCTCATAGTGAATAACATGGGAATATTTCTGCTGTAAAGTCATAAGTGACTTTGGGCTGTAGTGGTAAGGGGTGTAATATGCAAGGCCTAAGGTTTTGAGTTTGATCCCCGCATATGTGTGTATTTCTTGCAAAAATGAAAAAAAATACTGAAAACCGTTGCCTAGTGCGGGCCTCCCCGGATAATTTTTTGCTATTTTTTACCCTGATTTGCAATCTCTTAAAAATCATTTATATTGGCAGAGTGTAAATCGGTTTACAGGCAAAATTTGTTGATTTTTACTGGTCTTTCACACTGGTGATCGGTAGAAGCGCCAGTACAAATATAAAAAAAATGCGAACAATAAGGATATTTTCTATACTATAGTATTCTTTAGTGGCTGAATATAACCGCCAAGGGCACAAATTACCTTGGCGGTTTTCTACAACCACCAAAGAATTGATTTTGGCGGCCAGATTTCGACACTCGAGAATATTCTAAACCGCTAAGGAATTTCCATTGTTTGGTAGTGATGATAGGTGTTGCACGTCGTGGCGCGTGTGGGTGACCGGCAGATTGAGGAGTTCCACAAGCGCGCACGAGGTTTTCACTTTCAGTGGTTGGAGAGCGACACACCGATCCGGCTTTAGATGACAAAGACCCGAACCATGCAAACCTTAGCACGACATCTCATTTGGTTATCAACCGTATCACAATCCGCTTAACCTTGCCATATAGTGAAAATTGCGGATATATGATTAAGCACTTGAATTTGGTGTCTCACAAACCAATAATGCTGACTGTTCAAAGACATATTGATCTAAGATAAACCCATACCCTAACATATGTGGCGACAACTCAATATAAGATCTAAGGGTTGTCACACCTCTGTACGCGCCCCTTAATAAGCTCTAAGATGACACATGGCCTAACGGCCCAAAAGACATTGGCACAACATCCTTGCAGATTTTGGACGCTGACTTGTTTTGACTACCCTATTGACTCCGGTAGAATTTGGACCACAAGCCAAAGCCATTGGTTAGCTTATAAAATTAGCTTTCTATGCATACGTGGATCATTGAAAACAGAGTCCGTGTACGTCCTGAGCATTCGTTTTACTATAGCTGGTCCCGAAGATCGAGGTAGACTTGAATTCGAGTTGGACTGGACCTCTGGCTTGTCTTGACATCCTTGCTGGTCTTCTCCACACAGTTGGGGCATGCTTTACCAATGTGATAGTGTGATGAACGGTGTAGGTTGGTGTTGGTCTGGTACTAGCTAAGGGACATCAAATTGACTCTGCTATTAGTACGTAGCTAAGGGAGATCGATCAGTCTAATGTCAAGGTTTAGTTTTGTTTTTCTACACCAGATGACTGTTCGGCTGGCTGAAAAAATGGCTGATGCTGATTTGTTGTGAGAAAAAAAATACTGTTATTTTGCTAAAACGGTACGGCTGATAAGTTCAAGCGAACAGGGCCGATATAATCCCCTGATCTGCAAGACAACAATTTGTTTGTTGCCTCTTCTGCTCACCATTAGCTGTCAATCGCTTTAGTTAAAATCCTGGGCTCTTGCTCTCTCCCTATCCTCTCCTTTATACCGTGATGGCTATCAGTATCACATCCTAATCTCCTCAGTGATTAGTATCAAACAACGGCTCCAAGTAATGGTAGAGGAATTTGTTTCCACTGATGTGACGCCTATAACGGAATACGACTGTATTTGCTACCAGAATAGTAGTGCCAAGATCTGTCTGTATTTTGAAATCGAAGGGAGCAAAATATCTCTGTCGCGTTCCAGCTTGCACTCGCCTTCTATCCATTTCAATTTCACGTGACCAAGAGCTATACAGCTGCAAACTACAGCGACGTCCATGAACAAGAATTTCCAGCCATTCGCATCTTCATCGTGATAGCACGCCGATGTCTATACTGCAATTAAGGTCAGTATGTAGGCGGAGGGATTTTGTGTTGCAGGGCAGTTTAAGGGAGGTAGGCCGTAGCCCGTAGAGGTCCTGTTGGAGATGCTCTTAGAGCATCGGCAATGTATATGGACCACAACAGTCCAAATAACTAGACCTAAAGCAGTGGACAGTAGTTATGATTCATCTCACAATGTTCAGCTAAGCTTAGAAAACATGTTGAATCTGACAAGCAGCAAAGAAAAATCACCTCGCCCAACTAATGCCGGTCAAGACGTGCAAGAGAACATTTGTTTACTCATTTCTATATGGTGGCACTCTATACCCATGATTCTTTATTATCTTCCAGCCAGACCATAGCACTATGGCTAGCTTTTGTTATCTCTTGTCTACAGACTACTTTCATAATTACCACGTAGCTGATGCAAAATATTTAAATCCTTATGGACCGCTTTATCTCCACATTGTGGATGCAGATAGGCGAGGGCGGCGATCATCACTCAGGTGAGCAAGAGCAACTGAACGGATAGTGGCGGTTGTTCAGCGTACGTATTCACGTCGTTGATCCTGGGACGCCGGTGGTCGCAGGATCTTGATCGGCCTAGATTATTAAGTTCCATGATTTTCCTTAACTTTGTCGATAGTTTTTTTTTTGATAACAGTCGGCTCTAAGGCCTTGATATTGGAAACACGGGCTCGATCAAA